TTAAGAGCAGAATTGTTCAAAAAGTGTTCCTGATTTTACAGAAGCCAACAGTCTGAGTGCTTAGCCTAGGCCAGGTGCTCTGTGTGCGTTGCCTCCCTGTGTCAAAAGGCCCCTTGATTATTCAGAAGAGAGGCCTGGAGATAGCCTGCTGCCTTGGGCTGGGTGACATGCTGTTAGTCACTCCAGCAGAAGCAAATCAATAGGAGAGAAAGTGGGTAAATTGGCTTTCCTGAGACTCTTGCACCACGAAAGATACTTTGAAAGGAATGATTAGAGCTGGGCGCAGTGGCTCACGCCTGTAATCCCAGCTACTGTGGGGGTGGGGGAGAGCTGGAGGATTGCAGTTGGAGGTTAGCGAGACCCCCTTTCGACCTGCAAGCTGGTGTGGTGGTGTGCACCTGTGGTCCTTCTACACAGGAGGCTTAGATGCCAGGATTGGGGTCTGAGTTGCTCCTGGCAGAAATGTGAGACTCTATCAGAAAAATAAATAGAGCAAAAAGGGCTCAAGTGGTAAAGCAGCTGCCTAGCAAGCACAAGGACCTGGGTTTAAACCCCAGTCCCACAAAGGATTGGGGGAGTGGAGGGAAGGAGAGAGAGACCGCCCCTCCCACCCCGTAGCCACATGCAGACACCCCAGAGTGCAGACACCCCAGAGGGCACAGCTGCGGGAGCTCCTTCCGGCCCTTCTCAAAGTCAAGGGGTTTGTTTTCTTTTCAAGCCTTGTCCTCCCCTGGGCTCATCTCTCACAAGGTTGTCCTCTGGGCCCTCCGATCCTCTCGCTCACCCTGCAGTCAGTCTGGGCAGATAAGGGCCATTACAGGGTGCCCAATCCATCACCGGGGCCTCCGCAAGTCGTCACGAAGCCCGCAGCCCGCCATCGGTCTCCGGCTGTCCCTGGTGGGTCTTTGTCCTGGTCCTTGTCACTGACTGAGCGTTGTCTGGAGTCTCTCATTAACGCACCTGGCAGTCTTCTCCTTAATCACCCTGTTTTAAGGGCCTTGTTAGTTTTGTGGCTGTGGCATTGAGGTTGTGTCACTACGTTAACGATTCTTCAAGCCCAGTTTCTTTTTCTTCACCTTGACTTTGATTTGATGCTCGTGGGATGGGAGGAGACGGCGGAATGGTGACACCTCCCCAAGAGGTGTCCCCATCCTGCGGTCCTGTGATTGAGTGTACCACACTGCTGGGAGGAGGACCGGCTGGCGGGCTGGGTGGTGGTGACATGTCTCAGGCAGGGTTGGTGCCCATGGAGGAGGAGCAGCAGGTGCTGGATGCCCCTCGCTCAGGAGAGAGTTGGCACCGTTGGTCCCCAGGACGCCTGGCAGCCTGTGGCGGGAACCGTCCTCTCTGACCCCGGATGTTTCTTAGGTGGAAATCTGCTAGGTGACGATGGCGCACCTGTGTTTCTAAAATTGGGTGCCTTGTTGAGTTCTGATCTACATGTGGCAGGATGCAGAGGGCTCCCTGTGGACGTGGTGACACTCGGGGGGTCTGTCCTGGGCATGTGTGGAGTGTGGCCTGTGCTCCCGAGGCGGCTCCCGGTGTCCTGCCTGCCAGAGCCCTGTGTGGAGGTGACTGCTGCTGGAGGACCTGCTGTGCCGCTGTTCTCCAACTTGACAGGTGTGCGTTGTACCTGAAAAGGGGACCGGCCCTGTCAGGGCGCCATGGCGTGGCTGACCCTGAACACCTGAGGCAGGGGGTGCCCATCTGTGTTGAGGTGGGACCGGCACCACGTTCCCTCCGGCAGAGTGGTGTTCTGCGCTGTGAGTGACCAGGGTCTGTGTGTCTGCCCCCTGCACAGAGTGGTTACAGTTTCTGGTTCGGACTGTGCTGGGAGAGGTTTGGGACGGTGTCCGCACCAGGCTTTCTGTGACTGCTTGCCCTGTTCCTGTGCTCTGTCCCCGCCAGCCGGGCCAGCCTGGGAGTGACTGCGCCGGTGCAGTTTGCGTGTTCCTGAGGACCAGTCGCGTGGGCACGTCCACGTGTGCTGGCCCTCGTGTCTGAGGACGAGCTCTCAGTGTGCTTTTTCGTTACTTTTTCCATCTGGTCGTGATCTCGGTCTAGTTTTCCATCTTTCCTTTCTGAAGACTCGTGAATACCTTAAGGAAATGAGGCCTTTGTCTGGAAACCTGGTTTCCCACTTTGACATTTTCCCTCCTCTGGTTACAGTTTTTTCCCTGGGACGTTAGCGTGAAGGTCTTCTGTATCTGAGCGCAGTGTTTTTTTCTTTTCTGTTTTGTTTTTGTGTGAAAATAGAAACGCCATCTCTTTCCTGAATCCTTAAAGCTCTCCTTTGTGTTCCCCTTAAGATTTTCATCTTTCATGTCTGAAGCGTTGATCCACCAAGCCTGGCTTTTGATACCAGCCGAGTGGCTCAGTCATTGCTGCTGCTGTGACAAGGTCTAGCCTCCACTGAGTAAGCCGCAGAAATTCCTTCTCCACTGTTCTGGGCTGCTGCCCAAGGTCCTGGCTCACTCCATGTCTGTGAGGCTGTGTCATGTGTCTGTCCGTCGTCCCCTTCTCCACGCCCCCCCCCCCTTGCAGGTGTCCACCCTGGTGAAGGACAAGGCTGTGCTCGGAGGCTCCTTTCCCTTCGTTCCCTGGACTTCATAGCGCCACAGGTGGACTGGCCCCTCAGTGCTGTGCCCAGTGTGGGTTCACAGTGGCCCCTCTTGGAATTCCTCCTCCCTTACACATGGAGGATGTCTGGGAAGGGGAGTAGGAGAATTAGGGAGGTGACATGCTGGAGAGGCCCTCAGCAGTGCCCAGGACATCTGTGGCTCTGTAATGTGGCCTGGCCCTTTGCCTGGCTCCCGGGGAGGGTTCTCCTGTCCCTTCCCTTGACACTGTTTGTTCTGCTCGGCTTCCAGAGCTGCCTGGGGCCTGACGATAGGCAACTGGAGGAGCGGATGCTCAAAGGTGGATCCACTGTCTTCTGAGGAAGCTGTTAAGCCCATGGGGAGTTGGATTGAGCGGCGGGCTGAGCAGCAATGGGCGCCCGTACAATGGCTCAGGAACTGTGTCTGCTTCCTGTCTCTAATCTGTGCTCAGCAGATGGGCCTGGTGAGCCATCGGCTCTGCTCCCGCCCGGCTCTGCTGCGTGCGCTGCCCGAGCCCCCTCTGCAGCTGGCTCCTCTGCCAGTCCTTGCCATCCCAGCTCCTTCCCTTTCCCTGCTCCCACCTCTGTGCAGAGCTGGCGGGGAGACCCTGAGCCCCTCTGGTGAGCAGAGGTCACCTGGGCCCTTCCTAGCTGAAGCTGGGGTTGTCCAACATGCTTTGTGAGGCTGGGGTCCTCTCCATCGTCAGTCAGGCCAGACCTTCACTGCTTCGCCTCTGTCTCCACTGATCTTTCACGGAAGAGAAAATAAACAGACCTTGGTTTTTCTGCACTGCATTCAGAACCTTCTGTATTTCTGAATTTTTGACCAGAAGCTTCCAAATCTCATTGAGTACCCATAACAAGTACCGCTCCACAAGCATCTTCTGGTGCCCACTGACATGCTGTTTATTAATTTTCAGTAGGGCCTGGATTGCTCTGTGGCGTCAGTGGCCCTGAAGTGGCCTCCCTGAGTCAGCTCCACATGGAGAACTGGATCTCAGCTGGACAGCCCACTCCTGGTCTGTAACCTGCCAGCTCCTGCTCTATAGCCTACCCTAGGGCTGTGCCAGTGACTTGAGTGCTGGGCTGAGTATCAGGACCCCAGCTCAGAGCTTGTTCTGTGCAGAGATGGCCAGTATCAGTCCACTGACTGTCCTCCAGTCCCCAGGGTTGTGGCTCTGTGCGGTGAACTCCCCTTCTCCACCAGCACTGGTGCTGCTGCCCTGTTGGCTGTGCCTCCCGTCTCCCTCCTCAGATGGGGTGCCCACTGCTGGCCGTGGTCTGAGGTCTGCTTTCCTACGACTTCCAGGGGACACCTCTTCCAGGGACCCTCCCCTCCCCCAAGCCTGTCTACCTCCCCAGAGCGCACTGCTTTTCCTGCCTGACCCTCAACCCTGGCTCTTGGCTCTTGGGCCACAGCCTCCCCTGGTCACCAAAGGCACTGCAGAGTTTCTAGGGGTGGAAACTCCTTTGCTAGAGCAGCCAGGCGAGAAGCAAGTTCCCAGTGGACACTTGAAACCTAACTAATGGGAAGTACCTGGAGGCTTGGGATGGAGCTCCTGCAGGTGCCAGGGAACACAGTGACTTCTCCAAAAAAGGCTTTTTTGGGAAGAATTTGAGAAGCAGATGTTGGTCTCAATGGTGTCTTGTCTGGCACTAGCAAGTGGCAGGGGCCAGGCCCGAACCCACTGCATGTGGGCCTTGCTGTGTGGTGCCACGGTTTTTCCTCCTTCACCCCAGGACACCTGAAGGTTTGGAGCCTTCTGCCTCCCCCACCCCCACCCCACGGGGCGTCCCCCAGCCGCCTGGACCTCCTGTGCTGATCCACCTGCCACAGGGCGACCCCCAGCCCCACGGTTGCCATCCAGCTCAAGGAGTCACAGCTCCACCCCTGTTGTGTACGCAGACGCAGCGGCAGGTCTGACAAGCGTTAACCCGGCCTTTTAAAGGTCACTTCTGTCTCAGTCAGCTCTTAAAGTTCAAGAGGAAATAAACTGCTTAGAGCTGGCATTTCTCAAGCCAGTGTCAACCCTCCAAGCTGAGCTCGGGTGAGAGCAAGTGAGATTAATAAACGAGTGGCCGTGTTGACACAGCCGCTGGCCAGCAGGTGCCTCCCTCTGGTTCCCGCGTGGGGGTGCTGTGGGCGTGTTTCTCTGCTTGTCGCCTGACAGTGTTTGAGGCTGTCAGCCCTGGTTACTCCCCAGGGACCCCCTGCCGTGACACCTGACTGACGGGTGGAGGACACCCTCTTCCCAGGAAGGTGCCTCACCCATCCGGGTATTGACTGGGCTTCGGGCTGAGGACAGTGAAATCGATAGCAGAATAAACAGCAGCTCGGGCTTATTAATCAGGCACCTTGAAGGCGGCTGCCGGGACCATTATGGAGCGCAGGTGTCGGTCGATGGAAGGCCGTGTCCAGCGCAGGTGGGCCCCGCAGCCAGGGGCCACGATCGACCTTGCTTTGCAGGACCTAGGCGCCACCACCAGTAATTGGGCTGCCAGGTGATTCCAGGGGGGGGCGGTGCTCCAGAGCTGTCCTGTCTCCCCTCCTAACCAGTTGTCCCGTGTCTGTGTCACAGTGGCAGTTAAGCTCTGCCTCAGAGCTCCTCAGAGCTCTTCTCCACCTGGTCCTGCAGTGTGACCCACCGACCAGGTGGCTCCCTGTGACATGCCCCAGCTGATCTCTGAGCGAGCGTATTCCCAAGTCTGTGTCTGACCCCACCCCCTAACTTGCACACTCTTTCTGGCTTCTGTGCACGTTGTCACAGGGCCCTGCCCCCACCCCTTGCACCTTAGCTTCTGTTACTATGGTGAAGGTGGAGAAGAAGGGAAAAGTTAATTTGGCTCCCTGTTCTGGAAGTCACAGTCCAAGGCTGGCCCGTGCATGGCTTTGGTCTCTGGTGAGGGTGGCACCTCATAGCTGGAATGAATGCTTAAGCAACACCAGGTGTGTCAGGCAGAAGCCAGGGAGCAGAGAGAGGCTAGTGGAGTCCCATGGTCCCCTGAGGACTCCCCCGAGGTCCCTCTTCAAGTCTCGGTACCTGCTGAGGACAAAGCTTCCGAATTATGAATTCCTAGGGGCACAGACCATGTCCAGACCACAGTGAGGCCATGGCTTCTCCACCTCTGCACTCTGCCCAGTCCTGGGGCCGTACTGCACGAGACCTCCCGGGGCCATGCTGGTCCTGTGGCAGCTGGAGGGCCACACGGGGGTCAGGGTGGGGAGGCGCACAGCAAGGCCTGGCCATTGTGGTGCAGGGAGCTGCCCCTCTTGCCTCCCATGTGGGGGCTCCTGTGTGGTTCACAGTGAGCCCCGGCCTCAGGCAGCTCCATGGGCCCCCTCACCCCTGCCCTGCCCCCTACAGTGGCCCTTTTAAATTTGAGAAGCTTTACTTCTTTGGAGAGCTTTTGGAGGGACATTGCTAGAACAAACTATCTAGACAAGGAAGGGTGAGGAGCCCAATCCAAGAACCCTGACCCAGGGGGCCACTGCTGGCCATCTGCTCCTCGTCTGTCGAGCCACATCGCCCCGCTGTGTTCTCTCAGGTGTGTGCCCGGGGCCACTGTCTCCTGGGCGCTTCGTGGCATCTTGCTTTCCTTTCCCCCTGGGGATTTTCCTCCCCACTCTTCTATGTCTGCCTCCCAAGGTTGTCATGCTGGGAGGGAAACAGAGGCTGGGGCTTGGCAGGCTGCGAGGCGAGAATGCCGAGGACTACAAGCCCAGGGCACTGTGTGCCAGGGCATTGGTCTCGTCCTAGCTGTGCCACCTGGGACCACGCCTCCCTGAGCATTTGTGTCAAAGGCTGGACCTGAGGTGGAACCCCCACCCACCAGCGGGGGGCTCAGAGCCTGTCGGAGGCACTGACAGTTCCCCATCCCTCCAAGCAGGCCTTGCAGAGAACGTGAGCAAGGGAGCTCACTGTGCCCAGGCTGCTCAGTCCTGTCCATCACGAGCGGCACGGGTTGGGGGCGCGGATTACCTAGTTGGATCGTGCTGGGGCCGGGCTGGGAGATTGGCGTGTCCTAAGCTGCAGCTCTCGTGCTGGGCAGCAGGGGGCCTGGGGCAGGTGCTTGTGTCTCAATTTTTAGTCACCTGCTGGTGTTTCTAAACTCTGGATCCTCAGTGTAGGCCAACGATGGGCGGCTTTTCCCCATAGAAGCAAGATAGTAAATATTTTCCTCTTCAGGCCAACGCAATCTGTCACACGAAACTGGCCACAGACAATATGTCAACTGTGGGCGTGACAGTGTTCCAACAAAATAAAACGGGAAGGCTGTTTTCTGAGCACGAAGGAATATGGGAAAGAGTACGGGACCTCATTGGGCCCCACCCGGCTTTCGCTTGCTGGCTGTGTGACTTTCTAGATCCTCATTTGTGTCTGAGGGGGACCGTGTGCCCAGCCGCTCATCCACAGGCAGGTTGAGCCAACATGATGTGGGTGACAGCTGTCCTCCCTGCAACTGAGACCTCGGTGCCTGGTAGGACAGGGCTCCAGGACACCTGATGGTCACCTCTGCACACCACAGCTCCTGGCTGGGTTTTTGTGTGGTTGTTTGTCCCGTGCTGGGGATGGAACCCAGGGCCTTGTACGAGGCAAGTGCTCTTCCACTGAGCCCCAGCCCCGTCCTCTGGCTGTCTAAATTTTCTGTCTACACAGCGGTTACTTAGTGAAGCTCTGAGGGGTTACCTGCCCTGTGGTCTCAGTGGTCGAGGGGGTGAGTTCGCTGCTGACTGCTGTCCCTCACTGTCTCTTTGAGACACTCTGCCCTGGGACTGCAGGTGGCAACTGATAAGTCAAATTGGATGAGCCTCTCTGGTTGCAAGGGTGATTTTCTGTCTCTCTTTTCAAGGTCGGATGAGAGTATTTACCATGGCCTCTGTTTATCTGGGAATACAAATTGACTTGGTGCCTCGAGTTGATGAGACGTTGGAGCAGGCCACTCATCAGAGCCAGTGCTGGACAGTGACCGGAGGCCAGGCGACAGCTTTGCATGCTAACCCCCAGGCCTTTGATAATTGTTTCGTCTTTGCTTTTTTCATTCTCTGGTTTTGTTTCTGCTGTTTGGATTTTTTTTTTTTTCAGAGAAGTGTGTAATGACACTTGGAGGCGTTTAAGATTGGAATCAGATGGCGTAAATAAAGACAGCTGTGTGCGATGCCAGCCCGGGCACGAGGGCGCCAGGAACCCATGGCTCCCACTGAGCCTGCGCATGGGCACGCTGCAGCAGGGCCACCACCTGTTCCCTCCTGCATCTTAGGGCCATCCTCTCCGCAATTTCCAGACCTAGCACAGCTGTGTGACCAAGGCTGGCCAGCAGCTCTCGGTCTCGTGGCGCCTGTCCGGGAGGACACGGGCAGGGGCTGCCCAGCACTTGTGACCTCCGACCTCTCCTGTTGCTGCCCTGAGCCCTGTGCAGACTCGGAAAGGCAGGTTGCCAGGCCAGCTTGTTATTGGGGCACATTCTCGGGCACGGCCGGCGTCCTGGCTGGACGTAGCTGGGGTGGCCCCAGGGAAGGGAGTCAATACTTATGGAAAGCTGCGTGCTTAAGTTCTGCGGCCGTTAGGTGGAGGACATCAGGGGCTTTGCGTGGAGTGTGAGGTCAGAGTCGCTGGATGGATCAGGTGCTGGGGGCTTCTGTCTGGTCCCGTGGCCTCCCAGACCACGCCTCCTTGTTTCTGTCCAGAAGCAGCTGTCGTTCCTCGGTGGCCCCCTGCATTGTGGCCGGCCCAGTGCACTGGCCTCCCCAGTGTTCTTTGCATCAGGGAAATGGTATCAGGAGTCTGACGGCCGTGCAGTGCTGCCTCTGCCAGCCTGGAAGTCTTGTCTTCTGCAATCGGTGTGTGTCGTCCAGCAGCCGTGTGGTTCCCTGCCCCTGTGAGCGTGGCTCTGTGTACTTTTCTTGCAGCTGGCATCGTGTGTGTGTGTGTGTGTGTGTGTGTGTGTGTGTGTGTGTGTGTGTGTGTGTGGCTGGGAGGTGGTCCTGGTAGACGGTGTTCTGTCAGGATTGGTGGCTTCCTCTGGAGCATCTGCTGGGACAGTCTTCCTGAGCTCCTGCCAGCCTCTGGGACCTGCCCACTGCTCTCTGTCCCCAAGGCCCTATGTAGAATGCCACTGGCTTTCCCTGCTGTGCACTCATCCCGAGCCACTGCCGTGTCCCTGCTGCACCCCCCCTTGAGGCCCAGGGACCCCGTCTCTCCCCTGCCATGTCCGGGAGCAGCCTGGCAGTCTGGGAACTGCTACAGAGCCAGACTTTGGGATTCCACTTCTCACAGAGAGGAGGACGTGCGGAGGCCCTCCAGTCCTCAGGCTGTCCAGGTTGCGTGTGCAGCACGCCTGAAACCTAGAGGGGCTGCAGTGAGGGTGGGGCCTGAGCGGTGGTACAGGCCCTATGTATGTGCACAGCAGTGGGGCTCAAGGGAGGCTGGATTTGAAGGCTGCATTGCAGGGTGGGTTTGCTTCAGGGATGGGCAAGTAGGGGCTGTGCAGGCCCGAGGCAGCAGCTGGGTGATGGTCATGGAGAGGCTGTCAGAGCGTGTTGAGGCAGCCTGGAGTGAAGTGAGGCTCTTGCATTGTGGAGGCTCTACTGTGCCCTGAGCGTGGGGGAGGGGAGGCCAAGGGGCCCCTCACTGCTGGCTCAGGTGGCTGGGAGGTGGTGAGACCTTTGCAGAGGCCAGAGGCTGAGTGTCCTGTTCATCAGTGGCACCAGCTGTCCTTCACCCATCATCCATTTCTGGGGCTGTAACTGCCTTCATCCTGCCTGAGATCCTTCCCGAGTTGGTGCTTCCCTTGCTGGATGAACAAACTTCTGGAACTTTCTTTCACTTCCGGGAGATTCCCTGTAGAGCAGGGTGGGAGCCAGGACATGCTTTCCTGCTCCTGCCCTGGCAGCATGGGAACAGTGTAGGGACAGAGGCCCCAGCCACCAGGGGTTGGCCTGCACTGTTCGTTTCCAGCTGACGGTGTTGGGATGGGGTCATTCCTGCCTGACGCAGATGTAACTCAGCACCTGTTGGTGTGGCTGGGGTGTGAGCTGTGCATTGCTCCAGGCACAGTGTCCAGAGGCTGGGAAGGGCAAGCACTGCTGTGTCCTGACGGAGGTGACTTGGCTGCTTAGATCTGCATTTGATCAGTAATGTGGCAGAGGTTGCAGAATCGTGTGAGTGGGTTTCATCTGCGCGGAAGCTCTGAGAAGAGGGTGCTTTAGTGCACGTGGAATTACACTTCTGCTACTTATATCTCAGCCCCTTGGAGCGCCCCTCTCCCAAAGCATGAGCGTAATTCAGGGTAACACCCGGCTGGTCAGCGGTGAACTTCCCAAGCAGCCACCACAGGGCCACCTCCTGTCACACAGGTCCCCAAGCGTGGGCTCGTAAACCACAGTTGCTCCTTTCTCACTTCTGGAGCCGAGGAATCCCAGAGCGCAGGCAGCTCTGGTGATGCTGCCTCCTGCTGTGTAGGGACAATGTCCTTGGGTCCTCACAGGAGGGGGTTCTTAGGTCCATCACGTTGAGGGCTCTCCTGCATGGCCTCATTTCAGCAGTGAGGACGTGTTCAGTCCACAGCAGAGGTGCTGCTTTGCTCAGCTCTGGCTTCACGCGTGGGCCTGGCTGTGGCGGTCCTCTGCTCACCTGGTGTGCAGTCCGAGCCTCAGCGCACAGCTGACCTGCCCTGCTGTCTCCTGTGGTGGCCATGGCATCTTGGGGTGTTGTGTCTGTGTGCACAGCTGCACTTTTCTTGCTGTGCGTGTGCTCGGGCGCTGGCTGGAGCTGGGAGAAGGGAGACTCGAGAGGAGAGCCAGCGGCGGCGGCGTGTTGGACAGTGTCGTTAAAATGTCTCCTGCTGCTGTGGAGTGTCTCCTGTCCTTTCCTTGTTTCTTGAAAGCAGGTTTCTTAGGCTAGGGTTTCTGAGGACAGCCACGTGAAAGTGAACCGCAGTGGCCCGTCACATCCAAGATGGCTCTCAGCTCGGACTTGATGGCGCCTCTAAAAGGCGCTGGGCCACACACGTGCCAGCCCTTCTTGAAGTGCCTCAGCTTCGTTCTAAACTCCCAAAGGCTCACAGAAATGCCGCCGACCTCAAGTTCAGCTCAGCGGGAGCGACAGGTTTAATTTTTTATGAGCTTTCTCTTCTCTTGCTGAGAAGAAAGGCTGAAGTTGAGCGGCAGGACGTTCCCGGTGGGAAGCAGCTGCGGCTCAGGCCCTCGGCCGAGGCTGCCACACGCTTCTCAGCTGTGGAGACCCCGAGGGTGGCCGAGCGCAAGGCGCCGCAGAGGCCATTGGTGGCAGTGGCTTGAGGCTGGCTCTGTGGAGGGCTGCAGGAGGCCGGACTCCCATGGGACAGTGTGCTAGCCCTGCTCAGGCTTTCTGGACAAATTGTCCCCTCTGTCCACAGGACTGTGCCCCTCTGTTGGACCAGCCCCTGAAGCACGTCGGCGTGCTTCACGATGGGAACCGTCTCCTTCAGTCGTTCTTGCTGTGAGGTCGGGTCTGCCCGTGGAGGTTGTTAGTGCACAGCTCTGTACTGTAACTGTGATAGCTCACGTTTCTAGAACTTTTCTACTGTGTACTTAGAACAAGCTGGAGATGGGACAGTGACTTTTGGGTGCGGGGAAGGCAGGGTGAAGGGAGTGACTAAGGTCACAGGGGTAAAAAAAAAATGTGTTCTACCATCCCCCCATACGGAGGATTGAACCCAGGGCTGTGTGCGCCCCGGCCCCAGGGTTTCCCTGTAACCTGACAAAGGATTTTCAACTTGGACCCAGCCCCACACAAAGGGCTCACCCTGTCCCGGCGCCCAGGGGCACACAGCTCAGGCCATGGCCTGCAGTGGCTGTGATCTCCAGCGTCAGGGTCTGGATGGGGCATTTCCGTCCTGTGTCCTTACCTCTGTTAGGTGGCCAGGGCCCAGATGCTGCATGTGGCTAGGTAGCTGGCTCAGACTCAGCTGGGCTTCCTGGTGCCCGGCCTTGCTACCTGGCTCTGTCACACTGAGCCCCGGTCCTCAAAGCCCCAGGTGGATGGCAGCTGTGTGTGACTGTGTGTGTTCTGGGCAGGGGGTGCCCTGGACAGACACAAGGACATTGTACTGCCAACATACAGGGAATGGGGTCTGTCAGTCTCCCTCAAGACTCCTCGGCCCCATCGTCAGAGTGGTCTCTCAGCCCTGCTCAGTGTCATGCTGACATTGCCACACCTGTGCCTGTGTGCATGGCTGTTGAAACAGCAACGCGGATGCTGCCATTCTTCTAATTAAAGCACCCACTTTGGAGCAGTGACTTGGCGCCCTCGCGAGCTTCCACTTGATTCAACGATTCAAGAGTCGACTTCATGGTCTGTCGTTCTTACATTGGTCTATGAACAGCTTTAAGTTGAACAGGATGTCAAAATAGCCTCTTAATACGTCTCTTTCTAACATGCATTTGTACCTGTTGGGTTCTACGTTTCGGTTACGGGGCGCCTGGCGATGCAGGTGGCCACGGGCTGATCCTCGCTTAGGTGAGATGACCGTGCCAGGCTTTCTGGGGCCGCCCGGCTGGTCCCAGCTCCCTGGTGCCACAGTCCCATGCACGGTGGCCGAATCAGGGTTCCCTGCCATGCCCGCTGAACCAGGTTGCATCGGGGTTTGATTTACATTCACTTTCACTTCATACTGAAGCTGTTGAAAGAATCTGACTAAATTACGATTTTGAAAACGCTGGACTCGCTCAGATGTGAAGTAGGAAGAATTGGCTAGCTGCCGTTCTTGGGAGTTTGGTTTTCTTGAAATCGTGTAATCAAAGCAAATAGAAGTAAGTGGGTGCCAGCAATGATGTAATGCCACAGATGTCCTGCTCAGCCCGCCTCAAGCTGTCATGTTTTCAGAGCAGCCCCACCGCTCCGTCTGTCACCTCCCATGAGTGTTACAAAGGTCACCTTATAACAGAGCCCTCATGTACTGCGTGTGTTAGTTTTTGGAAATAGCAGCTTTCTGGTCGTGAGATAGTTTTCATCACTGTGGTGTGCGGTCCGTGTGTGCCCATCACTGCAGGGCTGGCCCTGTCCTCACACTGTCCTTACCCGAGCCGTTCCCTCCATGTCTCCCTCACCCCAGTGTCTTCTGTGGCCTAGCAGAACGTGAGCCGATGGGGACAGGGAAGGCCATTAGGGTGCTGACTATTTCCTTCCATTGGTGTTACTGGGCACTGGTCGCCGGAGTTCAGAGCCGGCCTCTGAGGGACCAGCTGGTACAGGACTTGCCCCGGGTGTGGGACCTTGAGCAGCTGGGGGCATTGACGGGTGCAGAGGTCACATTCTGAGGTGCTTTGCTGCTCAGCCTGGGTGTTTGTGGTCAGCAGCCTCGGGAGGCCTCTGGTGGGAGACGGCACCTTTGCTGTCTAAAGCGAGGACGGGTGGAGGGAGGGCCGTTGGGAGGCCATCGCGATTTAGGAGAGAAGTGACCAAGGGGAGAAGGTAGCAGGGGGAAAACAGTACAGGTGAACCTGAAGAGGGACGTCAATGGGAGATGTCAGCCGGCCGCAGGGAGGGACAGGAGGAGGGCTCGCAGCTATGACCCCGACTCTGTGCCCACTGCAGTCCCAGCGCCCAGGGTGGGGCTGGCTGTCGCTTTGCAGTGCTCGGCTCGGCCCCTGCGGTGGCTGCGCTCGCTGCCCCCCACGCCGCACATCTGCACGCACTGATTCACGTGGGAAGTGCTTGCGCTTGCAATTTACCTCATTCAGAAGTCCCGTCCCGCGGCGCCGCGGGCTGCAATCTTTCCCATTGTGGAGTCGCGCTTCCCTCCCCCGCCCGCCATGTTCTGGGATCACCCTGGGTGTCTATTTGAAACCCAGAAACTCCTGAAAGGCGTTAAGTAGCTATTCAGGAGCGAGGAAATGGCAGGGAGGTGGCTGCACGTGCAGTTCTATTTCAGGATGGCCTGGTGGGGCTCGCTGCGGGGGTGCATCCCGGGCCCTGGGGGGGGTGGCCGGGCCAGGCCTGGCCTCATCCGTGTGTCTCCTTACCTCCCTCTGCAGTGCCCGGGGGCTGGAGAAAGCCCAACAGCAGCTCCAGGAGGAGGTCCGGCAGGTCAGCGGCCAGCTGCTGGAGGAGAGGAAGAAGCGAGAGACCCACGAGGCGCTGGCTCGAAGACTCCAGAAGCGTGTTTTGCTGCTGACCAAGGTACTGGTCCTGAAGGCCCCGCTATGGCCTCGCCTGTCCTTTCCTCTCTGGCGCTCTGCCTTCTGCAAAGCAGTGCCCCCTTCTGCCTCGTGGCCCCATCCTCGCACTCAGCACCACCTGGTGCAGCTGCCCCCGAGCCACTGGCCGTCCTGGCGATAGCTCGTCCCTGCAGGGGTTGCGTCTCGGCAGTTTGGTTAGGCTGGCGTTCTTACTCCAGGTCCCAGGAGGGTCGCTGGAATGCCAGAGAGTCCTCCTGACCTGGCCTGGAGCTGGGCCAACTGCGTCCAGGTAGAACGTTCTGTGGTCCGCAGCTCAGCATTGGGCCTGCGTCCGTGCCAGGTCCCCTGCTTGCTCTGACTTGAATGAGTTCTCATGTCTTCTATATTACTGCAGTTGCTGGAGCGGGGAGGAATGGCTTTGGTGAGCATTAGTTCAGACATCACCATGGACACTGAGATTCCAGGAGACATGGGAGAAGAAAGCCAAGTGGCCCCAGGCCTGGCAGTGTCCAGCCTGCTGCTGTTGACACAAGCGTGGACCTGTGTCGCCCACTCTTGGCCTTAGGAAGACAGTACACCTGGGAAGTACCAAGCTGTGTGTGACGGATGTCTGCATGCTCTGGAGTGTGTCTGATGAGAAGCGCGGCTCTGACGCTGGGACCTCCTGGTGACGAAGCAACCAGGAAGCCAGTGGCTTTTCAGCCACTGGCCACTGTTCCATGGCTGCCTCTGCAGCTTCTTGGCACCACCTTGCAGTCTTACAGGAAGCCATCATGTAGGGCCTTCTGGGACCAGGGCTGGACTGACCCCTCTCTACAGGCCACAGAGGCCAACTCAGGAGCCCTGGCCTTGCAGTGGACCCCAGAAGGGCAAGGTGTCCAGAGTGCCATCCTGTAGCAGCTGGGCCTAGATCTCATTCCTCAGTCAGGACCATGCCAGCATTTTAGCATGGCCTGTTCAACTGGATCCTGGGGACCAGTTCTGGGCCTAACTCATCTTACTGTCTCCCCAAACGCCTGCCATGTGTCTACTGGTGTCAGCACAGGCTCTTGTGAAGTGATCCACGGCCACAGCCCTTATAAGCTTGACAGCATAGCGGGGAAGAGCCAGCAGCATGACCACACACTCACCCGCTGTGACAAACAGCCCTTGATGAAGCAGGAGAAGTTGTCTGGTGAGGCTTGAGCAAACACCTGAAGGGTGTGTGAGTGACCTGGTCCTTTGTGTGAGAACCCGGGCAGGGTGAGAAGGAAGGCTCCATGACACTGATGCTGGTGGCACTGTGCAGACACGCAGGAGAGAGACGGGAGGGAGCAGGAGCTGGGGTAGGTAGGCCACCTGTGCAGGACCACGGCTGAGGCCGTCCTGTGGGCACTTCCTGTTTCCCAGAGACACCAGCAGCGTGGGCGTGTGTGGCCAGGGCTCCCTGAGTAAATGCATAAATCCACAGTGCTCAGGGAGTTCTCCTGTGCTGGACCTGGCCCAGGGCTATGTGACCTCTGCTCAGTCACTGTGGTCTGTTGGCTGCCAAGACCCATCTCAGGGTCGGGACTCTGGTGGCATTGAGGACTTGCTCCCTGAATTGTGTTGAGAGGATGTGGCCTGTGTCACTTGCCCTTGGGCATCTGGAGGGCTTTGACCTTGGAGTTCATACCTTGGGCTCACAGGAAGGAAATCTCCACCCCTCCCTCCTCTGCTTAGCCGGCTAAACACCGATGGTTCCCTGGTCCTAACCGGTCTCTCCCCAACCTGTGCTTGGCTTGCCGGCATCACTCCAAGTTGGGGAGAAGGTGGGTGTTGACTGCCCTGCACTGAGACTGGTTTAGGTGGCTGTCCTTCCAAGGTGTGTTGCGACAGGTCAGTACCAGTCGCCTGTGCAGCCTCGAGGCCTGGGTGCAGGGACCTGTCCTGCTGTCTGGTGTGATGAAGGGTTCGTCAGCTGTCCAGGGACAGGACGGCAGGCCTTGGCCCACGATGGCTTGTGCGAGGTTATGAGCAGTGCTGCTGCTCACTCCTGTGGGCCTTGCTGTGGACACATGGAACCTCAGCTTGTGGTCAGGGAGTGCCCACTGAAGTCCCCCAGAAGTCTGCCATTGGGCATCAGCGTCTTCTGACCCGTCATCTTGCTCTGACCTCCCTGCCCTGTGCACCGCCTGCTGGCCTCCCTGGAGGAGGCAGTGTCGCCGCCCGCTCATCACCTGCCCGGCTGTGGATCCAGCCTGTGCGGAGCCCTGCTGGTGGCTTTCAGACTCTTGGGCCCGCGGAGGGGCTGTTTGTGTGCTTGACATTTAAGTACGCAGCGCTTGGAACGTGCAATTTTATTTCGGGACCTTTATTAAGCAGCTCAGTCTAAGGAGTTAATTGTTACTGATAGCTAAGGGTGTAATTACCCCGGTAAAATATCATGACTATTTTAAGCATTTGGAAGTTGGCTTCTGGAACCGGATGAACACAAACCATTTTCCTATTTGAGACGCGCTGTTTCCATTGCGCCCTAACGTCCCTCGCACGGTCGCACACTCTTGCTTATGGAGTACAAGCGGTAAAGCTGACGTTTCTGTGTGATGAAATCCCTCCCTTCTCTACTGGCTCCCTCAGGTCCCGAGGGCAGTGGTCACTGGGACCCCCATCCTGAAGAGCAGGCCTGGCAGAGGTCCAGCTCTGTCTCTCGCACGGTGGCTGCAGAGCACATCCTGTGGGCGTCACAGTGCTGTCCTACCTGCAACCCCTTGGGGTAGACCAGTTGTGTATGACCAGGTGCAGCCAATCTCGGTTTTGCGTTTTGGGTCTGCACTGGTCTCTGTGTCACTGTGAGCAGATTCTCCCGAGCAAGCTTCTCCTGGGGTGCAAATGACCATGACCTTGACTTTGGCTGCTAAGAGGGTGGGCTGCTCGCTTCTGCACAGCATTCTCTGTAAGTGGGAAAAGTCTTCACAGACTCAGTGCCGGGAGCCCCGCGGGGTGAGGCGTACCATGGCCCGTGCTCCCCCAGAGCAGAGGCACCTCTGTGCAGTGCCGTCGCCAGAGCGGGGAGACAGGCGTGGGCAGTCGTGGAAAATGGCGTCCTCTGTGGCTTCCCAGCCTCTTGTCTGTCCGAAGTCAGTCTGTGCCTGCCCTCTTTGGCAGCACCTGGGTGTGTGCAGATTGGCACCCATGCCCTGCCTTTAGCTCAGAGCTGAGGCCATGCAGCCAGCATGCGTGCTAAATCCTGATTCTCATTGTGCTTGCCGGCCCTACCCGCTCCGAAGCCAGCTCTGGCGTGCTGCATTCTGGGATCCACATTTACCTCCGTGTGCACATGGGCCGCAAACATTTCCTCTTGACCGTCTGCTGACATATGGGAGCCTCCTGTTCTGGCCTTGGCCTGTGTTGGGGGAGGATGCAGGCTGAGCGGGTGTGGGATGCCACAGGCCGTGGGATGTTGTAGGATCACAGCAGCTGCCGAAGCCACAGTCCTCATCGTACTGTCCCTGCTCTCCCTTCTCCTCTGAGAGCTGCAGTCCCTTCTGATGGCCTGGTCCCTGACCTGGGACAAGTGTGATACTTTGCATCTGGTCAGTGGGCTGGGTCCCTGTGGCCATGCTGGCCAGTGCCCTCTGTGGAGGAGCTGGGCTGGCCTTGCCAAACCCTGCTATCAGTGGAACCCTCTTCTCTTCTCCTGTCCCTGGTTCCCGAGCCTGTCCCCCTCGGGGCCTCTGGAGCTCTGGGCCCTGCCACCTGAACACAGGTGAGTTGCTGGAGCAGCGTGGCCTGGGGATGTTGAGGCCACCGAGATGGTGATAGGAAGAGTGGGTGTGGACCACACGCTAAGGACACGCTTCCCTCCATTGAGGAAGAAGGAGCCTAGGGAGGGCTGGTGACGCGCAGGTCGTCACTCAAGCTTCCCATCCACTGTGGACTGCTGTTGTGGCCTGCCCACGTCGGTGGGGCCGCGGAGGGCACGGGGCAGAGGCATGCTAGCGCATGGGGGGTCTTCGTAAAGTGCAGAAGCTGGTTTAATTTCCAGATGGGGCCTGCTGTCCTGTGAGTGTCCCTGTGCTCGACATGGTACAGTCCCAAGTAGCAGAAGTCTTGTCCTCCACAGAGGTGGGACAGGGACCCCGGGAGTGACCCGTCCCAGGACTGTGCTGAGGCCCGGATGTCAGTGTGCGCGAAGTGCGTTCTTCTCTCAAGGCTTGTCCTGTGGCTGGCACATTGCTGTCTGAGTAGATTGTGTGACAGCCGTCCCTTCCACCTGTGCACACCTGCACTGGGCCCACAGCCACTTCTCCTTCCCCTGCACTCCTGAGGAGACTTGTCTGTGTGGTCATTTGTCCCTTTCCATGTGGCGCTCTGTAAATGGCTGAGTGTGCAGCAGGCAGACATGGCTGCTGGGCTCTGCTGTGCTGTTTCCTGTTCCCTCGCCACCTCACTGTTATGACTGAGCTCTGCACCTGTACCCAGGTAATGGACTGGATGGAGCATGAATTCACTGTCTGCCCCGGGCAGCTAGCGGGCTGCAGACCTTTTGTTCTGTGCAGGGCGTCGCTCCTCTGAGTTTGGGCCATGGAGTGCACTCACTGAAGGTCAAGGCCTGGTCCTGAATGCTGGTGAGGTGAGGTTGGGTGGCACACAGTGACACCTACAGCCTGGTCAACACAAGGCTGCCCAAATTCAGACCACGGCCTATTTGCTTCTTTTAGCACCCTCCGCACCTGCTTGACATTGGCCGGAGGGGTGAAGGTGGGGTGGGGGACGCCCCCAGCCACGTGTCCTGGACAAGGTTGCTCTTTGAAGCCCATGGTCATCCTTGTTAGCAGCCAGCAGGACTTGTGTGCTGTGAAACTCGCACTCAGAGCCACAACCCACCCACCCAGGCCCTTCTCAGCACCCATGGGTCTGGAAAGGTGCCCTTTGCAAAGTCACTGGAAAGTGAACTTTGCCATGGTATTCTCATACTGTCCCACCAGGAAGGCTGCAGGAACAGAAGAAAGCGTTTAGAGAGAGAAAAGCAATTTTAGG